TCAGCATGGGGGTGAGTAGAAAATGAAGGCTAATCATGTTTTGGGTATACTATTCCTTTAAGAGCGGTTCAAGAAAGACAGTGATGAACATGGGAAAGGTTCATGAAAGGCAATGGCTAATGGGTGTGGATAGGGAAGATGGACGCCTGCTGTCTGAAGAAAGTACAACTAATAAATTGGTAGCAGGATCCAAAGGTTAGCATTGGTTAGTTGAATACGGGCTGCAAAACTGCAGGTCAGAGGTCAGAAACTTGGTTTCTTGATAATCTGTTTAATCTGCATTTCTTTTTTTCTCTAAATAATATGTTCTCTCAAGTTTCAAGTTGGCCAATGCACCATTGACCCAGGTATTGCTGGAGGTTTCTTCCTGTTTAGAGCATGCATGTTGCTACATGAGGTATGAGGAATTGCTGCATCTTACACAATACAAATGACAACATGCTCCTCTAAGAGTTCATGGTATAAGTCAGTGATCTGATGTAATCGTGTAGGTTTACTTGAATAGAAAACCTTTTTGACCGGTTTGAAGAATCCAAAGAACTAAACAGCTTTTTTTTTCATTGCTAGGATCAGTTTTGAATCTGTCAGGATGACTATATTATATTAAAGTTAATTTTTTTATTTTTTTACAGTAAATTCATTTGAGATGGTATTTGTTGTGAATTGGTGCTACATACCTTAAATAATCTGAATGTAACTTATCTTAATTATCTTTCAGCAGGATATGTCCTCTGTTCCAAAGTAAAAACTTGGAGATTATTTTAGGAGCTTAACAAAGATTTGTAGGTGTTTATTTGGCCCTAAATCCCCCACAACTCAAACTAATCAAGCATCTATGCAATGAATAAGTTGGACCGACGACTAAATAAAGTGAAAGTCAACAAAACGTAAAAATATGCAAGCATCTTAGAGCCAGATATCATCACAGACTAAAAAAGCTTTGATCTAGCCCTTGCATGATGAATCATGATGATTTGACAAAAAAATAAATAGTGAGAAGTGCCTGATCTGTATACACACCTTTCCTTTTTACGTGTCGTATAGTCTATTTACTTACTGCATGCCTGCGCCGTGTCTTTAACACACAGTTGTCACATGATCAGTGTGAGGCTTCAACTTTTGCAGTCTTTTTCTTAACTGGTACAACTAGGTAAAAAAATCCAACTGATAATTACACACAGAAAGACAAGTTCAAGTAATGATGTACTAAAAGCATCCTGTGTTTCTATATATTTAAAGGCTTGAATAATAAGTAAAAAAAAAAAACAGCATTTCCTTTTTAGTTCCCCTTAAGAACCCTGAAATAATACTCACTATTTCCTATCTAAGAGCTGTAGGAAGCTGAGGTGATGCATGTGGGGCAGATATGATCTTGCAAGAAATGATTCAGCAGTAAAGCATGCACCAAATTTGTAAGTTAATTCAGTCGCTATTATTTGAAAAACTTTAGACTTCTACTGTTTCCATTCTATAAATGACAAAATCTACCTCTCCTTGCTCTAGAATGACTCGCATATGTAAAGTGTTCATAAGCATGATGAGAAATTGTATGTAAAAATACTCAGAATATGTTTTTTTTTAAGCCAGGTTATTATACACATTCTAAAAATGTTTCAAGCTCAGCAGGTTTGTGTTAATCTATTTAACTCAAATCTTTACAATGTTTTTACACATGAAGGGTAAAAAAGAAGTGGAAACATTTGGATCCAACTGTTTACCTGTAGGGCAAGAGGTGGGGAATTTGCATAAACAAATGATGGCCCACACCAAACTGATGTGAAACAAATAAATAGGATTACATCAGGTTGCATGTCTGTATGGACTATATTCAATTTTCAGTCATACAGTTGCTATTGCTAATATTTAATACTTCATAGTAAGTCTGTGGTATAGTACACCAAGGATTTAGGAGGTTAGAGTTTCAAAACCGCCAAGCACTTATGTCATATGGTTCATGCAGTTTAATCTCAGTTTAATCCAAGGGGAAAATGCCAGCTAGATTAAGGCTTTTCTTTCTGCAGAATGGAAAACAGTAACGCAGTGTGGCCCATCTTGCTCATGTTAATGTGCACTGCTGGTCAGATGTCTGAAAAACGTCGGCTCTACTTCTTTGTTTCTAACAAAAACAAAATTTAATATCTGTACATATTTTCAGCAGTTAAAAAAATCAATGTATCCCAAGACAAAAAAACAAAGAGAGCACCATAAACCATTTGTTAAGGAACAGGTGGCTTGTCTGTAAAACAGCTGACTTCTGACTAGCTACCCAAACTGATAACCTAATTATTAAACCGGGTTACAGGAAGCGCTTTCATTTGTGGTACTCTATAATGTGAATTTCGATGAAGCCGCTAATCTAACCACTTCTGGTATTAGCTCTATTTACTTTGCTCTTTAACAAAGAAAATACTCCTGTACCAGAGCTTCTGTGTTCTGTTCTGTTGTTTTCTTGTGTGTCTGGTCCATCCTAATTCCAGTTGATTCTACATCCACAGCAGTCTCATAATCAGTGGTACTGTCAGGGGTATCACTAAGTTAGAACAGTGTTTTTCCTTTCCACTGTCACTACTTTCTTTCTAAGTAAAATCAGACTGACTTAATTAGTTTTATTTGTTTTCATCAAGAAACCCAAGCTGCTTTGATGAGCTCCTATAGCTCAGTGTGAAAAACAGCTGATCCCAGGCTGTTCTTTACTTCCAGGATGTTCCACTGCTTGTTTGGATGTGTCACAGCTGAAGGTTAACTCACAGAAAAACATACTTTCTGGTTAATTAAACCTTTATAAGGCCCTAACAAAGCAGAACAGATCCCAGCACTATTTTATTTTACTACCTACAGTAAGAAAATATTTTCATGTACTAAGTTAGAACAGGGTTCTTCCTTTCCACTGTCACTACTTTCTTTCTAAGTAAAATCAATAAAATCAAAATATTAGATTTTTGTTGCTAAAATTGCACAGATTACTTTGTAACCTAATTTAACAGCATATTACTGAAACTTTGACAATGTAAAATTAAAAATCTATATGTCTATATTACTGAAGTTTGCTGGCAATTGTTGCTAAATATATACAATCTTATAAGCACTTAAAAACTCATACGAATGACTTTAATTCATGTGAGTTTATTCTTGGTGGAAGAATTTAATAACTGCTATAAACAGATTATAATAATTATGTTAATGTTAACTTTTTGAAATATTATTATACTAGGCCATGCTAGCAGGAAATTATGTAACCATTTTTTTTTTCCCCAGCCAAGAACTGATCTGAGCTCTTTTTTAGTCATTTCAGTTTCTCATTTCTGTATTTTAAATGACTAATTATGAAATATGGAAGAGTGGTTTGGAGTTCCTCAAGGCAGGTGCAGCTCAGATGGAGGCTAAACTGAAGTGGGATGGGATGCTGTATCCATAGTTACCGTCTCCAGCCTGACATTGGCTCCACTGCTCCTTTCAGAGGTTGATTGAAGGTGATCATGAAGGCTACTGGCCAAGTCACCATCAGAACCAGAGACATCAGGATGACCCGAATAGGCACCAGAAAGATTCCCAACAGGAAACACTGCAAGGAGAGATGAGAATCATAAACATAGGAAGTCAAAATAACACAAGGGGGAAAAAAATCCTCCACCGCATAAACTCATTTATAGTTTTCCTGAACAATCACCATCATTGTTGGTGCTTCTGCAGCAGATTGTAAAAGGCGATTACAGGCCCGGGTTATTAGCCCGTGTGTCTGTGTGTGATTTCATGCATCAACAACTTAAGCGCTGCGTTGCCAAAAGCAACAACTACAACTTCAACGCCTGTTTTAATAAGAGCACCCGAGCAACCACCGTATACTCACTTTAATGACAGCAGTTTGGGTTAATTTTGTGTCTTGAACGAACGGATTGATGACCGGAGGTAGGAGCAGAGATTGCTGTCTCGGCAGAGGTAACACTCGCTGCGGCGGCATCCTGCACAATCAGTCCGTCTGTAAAACAGGCGTCACTGCGCCGTTATGTTCTAATCACACTTCCTTTAACTGGCGGGGCTTGTTCTCTTTTTTCCCCCCTCATCAGGCGACCGGTGGAGCTCACACTATAACAGTGCTTTGACTAAAGCGAAGCTCCACCTCCAACACGACTTACCCACAATGGTTAATGATTATTATGTTTGCTTCAAACCACCAGATTTTCTTCGTTTTTCTTTTCGAATGTAATTAAAAAAAAAACAAAAAAAAAAACACAGAGAGTAAATACAAACGCAGGAATCTGACGTATAGCGCAGCATAAGGTACTCATAAAAACTTATCCCTACTAATTACCACAAGATGGCGCCATTTCACACAAGATTTCTGTTCAGACACCAATAAGTTTTTATATGATCTGTGGTTGTTGGCATTAGTAGCATGACTTAAAATACAAATAAACTGTAATTAATACATTCATGGAAATAATTATTAGATTATTCTTATTTTTATCTTTTGTCTATTGTATTCTCAATTCAATAAAGCTACATTTAGAATAAGAAACTGAGGAAAACAAAGGATATTTTCTTACAAGGACTATAAGATACCTAATATAAATTCATGCTCTGTTTGAACATATTTTTTTATGTTAAAACCATTTCAGTTACTTTTTAAGCGAGATGAAGGGAGGAGTGACTATAATGTTGTAAGAAACATAAAATGCATGGGAATTTCTATTAGTGTTGGAGTCCATTACTTTTTCCACACATTCTTCAACTTTATGTGGAAATAATGACCACTTGGAAGCATTGTTTTTCAACTTGAATGTCCCCTCCCCCTTAATGCCTCCGTCTCTTCTCAGAACGTAATTATTAGAATTGCTCTAATCAGCATTTTCCTCCATGTGCTTCTAACTTGACTCTTGCTTCGAAGTACAAATTGCAAAGCAATATCCAATTATTTGGTAAATCTGCTTATCAGACTTCAGTTTGCAAACATTAACTGCTTTTGTTAGATGAAATAAAAGCACAAATAATGAGTAAGTAACCACTACTAAAATACCTACCTATTTGTCTCATGGTCATCTTTACAGGTTATTATCCATAGAAAATCTACATGGTGTTTTGTCTAACCACGTTATCATTAACAGTATTTTTTTAAACTTTAGAATCCTTAGCAGAGCAATACCTCTGAGCATAAGCATTCCTCTAGAGAAGTTAAATTGTTGCTGGATAGCAAGCTTAAAGGTAATAGTTTTTCATGATACGTGTCAGTTTTTTTGAAAACCATATAGTTAAAACAACCTTTTTTATTGATGACAGTGACAAAGTGCACAAGCTTTAGACAAAAATACAGGACACAATGACTATATTGTTAAAACCTAGAAAAGAAACTTAATATAAAAACACAAGTAAACAAAACTACTGCAGTATTCTTGTTATTGTTCCATCATGGAGCAAACCTATATAGCCTCTAAAGGCAACCTGTGCCTTATTTGCCTTGTAAATCTGTCTGCACATTTAATGAAGAGTAATGCAACAGAGATTTCAGGAATGTCTGATCTCCTTGTTGTTAAGTTCCCTTCTATATCCTATAAAAAGTGCTAACCAAACAAGAATAGCAAACCTTTAAATGCTACTTTCTAACATCCCGACGGTACTAAGTACTCCCATCACACAAAGCCACAAAATATAAAATGCCCACTATACATGTAGGTCTATATGCAAAAAGCAAATTCTGAAAGCACCATTCTCGGTCACATTGTGCATGTTCATTTTCTGCACAAGGAGAACATTTCATACAACTGATACATTTTAATATAGATGTGCTTTTTACACCTGATACAGAAGTAACCCCAAACCAATATGCTTTTTCCATATGCTGTAAAACTATTTTAAGAATTTTCCAAAAAAAAAAAAAAACTCAATATTTCTTGGCACAGTATAATACTGCAATGCATTGTTGACATACCTGATGTCTGTTCCTTAAAAATATGATAAAACAGGGATTCATATTTATATATTTTTTAAATTGCATTGCAGTTGTAAAATTAAAAATCACACAGAAACAAAGCAAATTACCAGTTGCATACATTTAGCCCGTATAGAAGGTCTTGAATTGCCATTCTACTCAGGCTGAGACTGGTTATACAGGCTGGAGGTACATGTGTCCAACAGAAGCGAACAGAGTTGCCAGGATTAAAAAAAAAATAACAGTGTGCACTGCAGCAACCTCAAATTGTGTGCGATAAACATTGATGACCTAGCAAGACCATCATCACCTGCAGCCTGAAACATTTAGGGTCAATGTTCAGCAGCCAAGCCAGTCCTTTGTGATTTCTCCCAACTTAACGATCTTCAAACTGCTGTCCTCTAGTTTGAAATAGTGGTTTCCTTTGAAGAAATAGCTGTAATCTGTGAAGATAGGAGCATAGCATTCACTAAGTTTCGGAGTTTAAATGTTAAGTTTTTCTTTTAAACAGCTTTTGCTAAAATGGGAAATAAGAGGTAATAATGAAAAAAAAAACACAACTTTTCAAAATTATGAAAAGAGTATAACAATTTACATCACAATTTCAGACAAGCAATCAATCTCTGCTGAAAAATTTGAGACTGTAGAATATGTTGATTAAGTTGTACACAGAAGCACCTCTGTAGATGGTCACAGGCTTGCTTTATATAAAAGTGTGTGATGCTTGAATGAATGTTAGTAGAGCAGTGATGGAAAACTCCTGGGCAAAGATTTGCATAGCCACTAAAACCTCATGAACACGTGCCTAACTGTAAGTAACAGCCTTGTAATTCACCTCTATGAAGAGTTCATATCGGATATTTAAGAAATACTTTAGAAGCCAGCAGATTCGACTCTTGCTCATTCTAACATTTTCCTGATTAGGTAAGTTTACTAACCTTTGCAAGCTAAATTCCAAAATGATTTACACTAAGATTATAATGCATTTTAAATCACTTGCAAATGACCAGGTTATAACGTCATGGCGTCTGATTCTGTTAATTTAAAACATCTGTCTAAATAACAGGGACACCTGGTGACTTAATTTAAGAAAATACCTGAAACAAGCTGCATTTGTTTGTGACATAGTGAAAATATCAAATGGATTTGATGAAAATATCAGCGATAAAACTGTGAAGCTTGATAAGTCTAATTGATCCTAGGGTAAAGGTTTCTGATCCTTGGATATGCAATGTTCATCTGATCAAGAAAAGACACAAAAGTATTAACATAATAAAAAGTAGGGAGATGGCAGCATTATACTGTGGGGTTTTACTGCAAGAGGGACTGATTAACCTCACAAATTATGTTTAATGGTGGCCATTATGTGGAAATATTAAATTGTCATCTCAAAACCTCAGTGAGGAAGTTAAAAGTTGGGTAAAAATCTGGCTTAATTGGAAATAGCTGAGGACTTCCAAACAAATGGTGAGAGTGGCAGCCTCATTAAGATTTTGTTAGCGTAGCTTAATAGATCCTGTCCTACAAAACTGTGCCAGTTCTGTAAAGAAGACGGCAGCGTAGGAGGCTTGTGTTGAGGAATGTTCAAATAGTTTGGCTGACGTCATAAAGCAAAGCACATTGAAGTTAACTTTAGTTTTCAAAGACAGTTTTGAATAGTCTCACATAATTATCTTATTGTTTTGACACAACAGACATAGGTTTAGTTTTTCCTAACTAATCAAAAACAAGAAACGCTTAGTCTAATTCAATGTCAAACTGAGATTCAGTAAATGGTTATTGACATTAGTATACACTGTATTCAAATATCTGGTTTCAGCTGGTTTTACTGGAACATCCTGAAGGCAATGTGGCCATGGACCATTATGTATTGTTCACTAGCACTTAATTACAGAGTGAACAACATAAAGCAGCTGCTCTGTCTTCCATAAGGGTAAACAGATCATAGCTTTTCTGCAGGCCTAACAGTCTTGCTCTAGTTGCATTCTTGGAGTTTTCTGCAGCCATTTCCTTTAAAACAGGTTTTCTGATATCTGAACGGAGCTTTAAATGAGATAAGGTAAGGTTCAATATAAAAAAGGTAGATAGGCATATTCAACCATTGTTTCAAATGGCATAATTCTTAACAATATCAAGGTACTGTATGTACAGATGAGAGAACAGTTGAGAACAGTGATTGGTCTTTTTGTTTTCTTTTTTTATTTAGGAGTTAGTCTACATGTGGGTAAGGTTCTATATGTGTATCATGTGGTGTAATGTGTGAGATCATGGGACTGTACCTTTCTTTTATTCAATCTTTTCAATGCTGTTATGAAAGACAGCAGAAGTTCTCATAAAAAATGCCTACTGAATATTTTTTTACTGAACTGTTATTCCCATGGTACATATTACAGTAAATGGAAAAGAGATAGCACCAAAAATGCAGGGAAAGGTTAGAAAAAGATGATTTAGCTACTTAATTCTAAACCGCTGAATGCTTAAATTATTTGATAATACAATAAATAAATCATTGATTGTTTCTCTTTTTGATGTCCTTGAAGAATAAACTAGCTTCTAAGATGAGGTAAAGTCATATAAATATAAGGAACAACGTCTAATCATTGAAAAAACATATTGTCACAACTAGTGGCTGCCCTCTGATTAAAGCAGTACTTTAGATTTACAAATGAAAAAAAAACAAAAAGGCAGAAAAAAAGTTTGTTATGACCAGTTTCACATAGAGGAAAAATATGTTTTGTTTTGACTCCAGAAGGTTTCTTATTTGGAGAACGCTTTTTCCTTATTTATATAAGCAGAGGGGGAGTTTGACAAATGGAAAAAAAACTTGGATCTCACTGCAGAATAGTGAGAACTAGCAGCACTGTAAAAAAAAACTGTGGTTGAGATTCACAGCCTCTGGTGTATTAGGAGTCAGGTTGCATTAAGAGACACAATTCCAAACTTTCTGATGAGATTTTTCCTGCAGTCTTCTGATGGCTGAATGCCTGTCTAATTGCTGAGCTAGCACAACTTCTACTTAGCTGTTTTAAAACTGCAGAATACAATAGTTTATATCACTGGTTGCAGTAAAGAAAAACATCCTATAAAACTTCTTAAAAAATTTTTCTGTATGTTTAGTACAATATATTTGGTATTCAAATCCCACAAAATTGATATTATTTTTGCAGACCTATTTTGATGTGACCTGTATGCTGCAGCAGGACTTTATGTGAAAAGCTAATTAGTAGGAAAGGAAGACCCACTAAAAACTGCTCAACCTATTCAGAACAGTAACATGGATGCTAACATGCTAAAGTCAGAAAGCATTTGGAGGGTTTCTCACTTGGCTGTGGGCTCCAAGTTCTTTTTTTAATGTTTTTTAAGAGAATGCCTGTTGGAGTGATTTCAAAAATTGTTTTTCATTAATGATGGGTGTGTTCAATATTCTGCCAGAGCACAAAACCAGAGATGCCAGAGATTTGCATTCATTCAATATGACTTAAAAATTACCAATTCCACTGAGACTAAAAGCAGAGTCAATGGCATCGGGAATGCCATTCCAGGAGTCAGCGATAAATTTAGGGAAGCCAGGATCCATCGTCTTGGTATTTTCATCATATCTGTAAAAAAAAAGCAACAATGAGAAATGAAAACACATCTTTTTACACACATCTTTTTATTTGGAGGAGCATTATTTTCCCTGAAGACTGCAGATAAAACTCTGAGTCAACAATCCAAATTCCCATGGTGTTTAAGCACTAACAGATGTGGAAGGGCTCATGGTGTAGTTCGGGGTTTACCAAACACTGACTTAACCCAGATGGAGCACCAGTCATGCTTTCAACAGATTTGACATCAACTGTATAATCTCAGGCGGGTGGGAGGTTGGTTACAACTTTGCAAATGTTTAATAAAAATTCCACAGTCTTACCTCCAGAATTTGTCCCCAGAAAACAAGTAAGTCTTCCTGTTCTTCCTAAAGTTGAAGGCAGCATCGATCTGCTGGACGTCTGATGGGAGGCCGAGGCTGGAGAGCCTTTTCGGGTAACCTCTTTCCAGCTCGTCGGCTCTGTAAATCCACATCTCATCACCTGAGATCAAAGGAGAGCATCCAGGGCCCTTCATTGAGTTTCATGTACAGAAGATAACTTTTAAAAAGAGTATTTTTGTCTTATAAGCAGGACCTATTAATTGCGGATTTAGTCTTAATCCAGACATATTTTCTGAAAAATATTAACAGAAAGTTTTCCAAACAAACTTAAAGCCTTCAAGGCAATGTAATGTACTAAGTAACCCAATATTGAAGGATATTTTCATACAAATGTAATACTTAGAATGTTTGAGAAACCACTAATGCTTATGGTGAACCATCTTAAAGTACGCACAAAGAATGCTGAGCCAAAATTCCTAAACGTCCTTGGCTTCAGAAGTGGATGATCAAGTGAGAAGTGATGGTAAAGTAGTAAGAATAACACTTTATATAATGCATCATAAAAGAGAATTGCCCTTAAGGATCAGGGATTAATACCCAGAGGGGCACGGGTTGGTTATTTTCAAAGTTTTTTTTAATTTCCTGCAAACCTGAGAAGAAGACTGTTTTCTCCTCCACTGGGTTTTCATAGGCAGCATCTATCTTTGCAGGCAGGTCAGGCCAGTAGGTGGCCACCAGCATAGGGCCAGTGGGTTTGCTTCTGAAGTTGACTGACCTGAACAGGAACCTGAAAGAAAGAGAAGCAGATAGTGAGTGATCGTGCAACAGACAAGTTGTGTAAAGCAATGAGTCTGATAGGAAAACCAACTCAGAGAGGGATTTATCAGAAGTTGGGGGAAGAGCCTGTGGGTGTGAGTTCTAAAGTTTAGTACAAGTGCTTCACTGGGCCAGCCAGCCACAATGGCCTGATTCATGAGCATCTGGTTCTCATTAGAACCGAGGCTGCAGACGCCAGCAGAACAAGACCCATCCTGCCTGGATTTTCAATAAGCAGCTGCAAAATAACAGCAGTAGATCCCTGAACTATTTTCCACTGACCTATTTTTCAAATAGGAAAATAGATGTCAATAGCATAAAATCATCTTGATAATTGTTTAAGAGAACAAGTAAAAAGCAGATGTCTTCCTGATCTAACTTTACGTTTTCTTTCTGAAGAAATCAACTCAGGGAGAGTTCTCCACAGTAGAAGTTCTGAAACTTTCCAGCTTCTAAAACGTAAAATGTTGCCATAACAAACTAACAGCCCAAATAATTGCTTCTGCATACAAAAGTTTCTGAAAACTTTAATAATATTACTATCAGTAACCAAAGTAGTTGGTTTCGTCTATTTTGAAAGGAACTAGAGGTAGGATTAGGAAATGAGACTCATGAGTGACATGACTGGCACTTTGGGTAACTGCAGCCTCCAGCCAAGCCGGCACAGCAGCATGCAGAAACTCTGCACTGGTGATGCTTTAACGCTGTTTACCACGGCATGGTTTACAACAAGACTACGCAAATGTTATGACATCAACAAGCACCATGTCAGGCAACGAAGTCTTTAAAACAACCGCTTCTTCTTTTATTGCTACTAATACTGAAAGAACCACAATCGTCTATTAAAGCTGCTGAGGGGGGTGCATGCAAAGTCAATTGATGTGACATCCATAGCGGGAAATTTGGTCCATGAATTGCAGCGTATTATGCAGCACACCCGCTCATCAAGACAGTGGGGAGATAGGTGGGTGATGTTTTTGGTTTTTAACGCTTAATCACCCATTAGTGTAAAAAGCTGGACATGCACTTGTGTATGTTGACTATTCCTACCCCTAGTTCCTTTAAATAACACTTTTGTATCTTTAGGCACTTTAAAATAAATATTTAATCTTTGGTTTATTTTATCTGGTCATCTTAAAACCCCATACTGTTTAATCAAGGACCCAAATTCGGGGCACAACCCCATCTCGGGAATCAGCATCCTTTTACTACATTTATATCATTGTAACGTTATTACTTTTGGCATATTATGCAATAGTTAGACTGATTTTATTATCTTTTTTCCATAACACTGATGCTGTAATGGTGTTACAAAAGCTCTCTATCAGTGAAGCCTGATAGTTAACTGTGATGCTGTCAAAGACAAACATTTTCTATTTGTAATCTGGTCATGTTTTAAAACCAATAAATTAACTATATATAAAATACACATACTTATGGAGACTTATGGTAACTCATTGTGTTCAGTCAAACCTTGAGGTCTCAAACTGACAGAAACTGGTGCACGTGTAAAGTGTTGGAATTCATGAAAACCTTTATTATCAGTAAAAAGTAAAATATAGATCTCTACAGATTAATTATATTTAGTACTCAGAGTTAGTCCTACACATTATTAATCTTTGGCCGGTCCAAGGGGGAAGGAGGAATATTCAGCAGAACCTTTCAACCTGGCTGGAAACAGCAGCTCTTGTTTTCATCACAGCTGCTGTATAAATTCGTCCTTAAACCATCACAATATAATGTGACTGACGGACCCATTTTGTGCCATTGATCACACAAATAGCACGAAAAATGAAGTTGTAGGCAAGTTTAGCATAAAAGGCACAAGACAGAGTAAGATTATTGGATCTGTGTTGCCATAGCTGAGTAGTGAATAAAGTCCATTGCAAGTAGTGCATGTGTTGTAAATGTGGTGTCTCAGAATTATGGCTGCTTGGTTTTACTGGGTGATATACATATACATATATATTTTTTCCATTTCAATAATATAAACTTCTTTGTAAAGTATAATTGGACAGAAGAGTATATATATATATATATATATATATATATATATATATATATATATATATATATATATATATA